ATTTGGAAGAATATAGATATGCACAACAGTTAAAATCTGGGAGAAAATTCGAAAAACCGTTTGGATATTCCGAAATTTTGACAAAATTTGTCCAAACTCTAATAGAAAAAACTTTTCGTACTAATCGAATTTCAGCTTATTTGATACATAGGAAGTAATTTGACACCTCCGACAGCCCAAGTGGGAGTATATATATGTATCTTAAATACTGTAAAAATAAATAAAAGGTGTCTAGTAAATGATATATATTTAAAGAAGTAATAGTGGACCCCAAAATCTACAAAAAATGTACTGCCATGATCCAATTCTATACAGCAATTTTAGGTTTGTCTATTTTTAAGTGTCTTGTTTTTGGTTGAGTAGAAATAATAACCATAAAACTATGCCATTTAGCTACATACCAATTGTAGTATAATAAACTATAGACAATTTTCTTCAATTAGAGGAAGTACAATTTGTCATTTTTTTTTTTGTTCCCTTCCTCGGGTATATAGGTTTTTTCTGGACCAGGGGAGTAGGCGGGAGAATTATGTAGGAGTTAAAAGTCCCCTCGGCATTGGGATTTGAACTCAGGTCCAGTTTATCAGGTTGCTGGTCAACACGTATTCTACATACGTGTTATCCCGCTCGGCCACCCCATCTCCCGAATTTGTCATGTTATTGACATTATGTATATAGTTGACATTTCTAAAAAATACAAAATCGTGTTGTAAGGATTTCAAAACTGGTAGCAATCGTATATCTCGCTCACCACTGACGACCTTCGATGTTGTGGAAATGTCTATTGTTTTTAATCAAAATACAACTTAGGACTATGCAGGGGCTAGTTCTACTATGTCCTAGGATCTGAGAGGATTCGGTCTTTTCCAGTTTAATGATATTGTAAATATCAGTGGAATGTACTTAAAGTGGCTTACATGGTATTTATCCATACCCTCTGATTAATCCTACGAACATCTACGGACCAATTCTTGACTCAGGCTGGTCCCTTCGGGTCTGCGAAAGTCTCTTAGAGTGCTCTTAAGTTTGCACACAGATGATTCTTGCATGTTAAAAATTAATAAGAATCTTCACAATATTTCTCAACTTCTTCTTCGGTGCATACTATTTATTTTCAAGTTTATTTATTATCAGCCAATTTTACACCAACATTGGTGTACAATTGGCTGAATAAATAAACTTGTTAATAAGGATCAGTTAAATCAATATAATAATCTACTGAATGGTGGTGCAGATTTGTTAAACGGTCAGTGTGTGCATGACTAATTTTAAGTTTCGTTAAAAGAATCTGGTGGAAACCTAAAAAAAAAACCCTAGAAATAGAAAAAATAGGTTCATTGAGAAGATATTTGAAAATTGATTTGTAAGGCAATCAAAAAAAAAAAAAATTTAAAAGATAAAAATGTATTAAACCAACAATAAAGTAATTATAAGGATGTGAAAAATACATTTTATTGAAGTTTGATGACATTTTATTGATCATTTATAACAGTAAAAAAAGTTTAAGAACTAGATAGAAAAAGTCTTCAATAGTTTGCAGTAATCATAATCACGAGATCAAGGCTTCGTGAAAAAGAATGCCATTATTCTCTGAAAAAGACCTAGTTCCCACTCCTGAATAAAAACTTGAAACGGAACAATCTCATTTAAAACCTTGGTCTCATTCCAGGTTAGCGAATATTTAGGTTATATCAACCCCGTCAAAACTTAAATTCAAAAACTATTTGAATTTAAATCCTACTTTGCTGAAACTAAACAGCCATATCAGTTTAAAGACAATTAGTGAATAGCTCATAACAATAAAAATAAAATATTATTATAATTGTTTCTTTTACATATATTGTCATCAATAACAGGTTGGCCCAAATCTAAACAAAGAAATAAATTTACTTTATCACTAATTATATCGAAAATCCAATCCTAAAACATCCCTACAACACATTTGGCGAGTACCTGAACCTTTCCGTCTGGTTAAATTTAAAAAAAAAAAAAAATAGTTTCACAAGAGACCATACAGGTCCTAGGGCGAGTGGTAATGTTAGGTGTATTTGATTTTCGATCTCATTATTGTTCTTATATTTTAGCTAGGAAAAGTGGTAAACACCCAATTCCTATCACCTGACTAATTGGAAATATAACAGTATTTATACTTTTAGGGCTAATAAAGGGCACACCGACAACACTAATTTAGCAAGGAAAAAAAATTTTTAAAAATGAATTATTATCTGAATTTTCCAGGTAGGTAAAACAAATAAAATCAAGCATGATATCCAACTCGAAATATTTCACAAGGGTTTAGAGGATATACTGGTACAGATTAAAGAACTTTTATAACACCTATTAACTTTAAGCATTACAACAAATTTTACTTTTTTGAACAAGGTACTTCAAACTTGTTTAGCCAGAAGTAGAAAAAATATCCTTTTAATTCCTGAAAGAGAAATATTGGAATATGAAATATAATTTTTTTTTTTGCCAACAGCCCTCGAAATGCAAAAGTTTAATAATTAATGAGGGAACATTGTTTCTGAGTCATGGTTATTAAAAAATCAAGTTCTAAAATATTTTCAACTAATGGAACGATGCAGAAAATGAATTAACAGACTAATTTAAACGTATGTGTCTATACAACACGAAGGTTTATGTAAATGTTAATTTAAAGTTAAAAATACTAACCATAGATCATATAATGACAGTGCTGCCTTCAGGCATTTCAGAATCTGTTTTTCAGAATTTTCATATATGATTGTTACATCTACTTTCTAACAGTCGAAGTTAAAATGAGGAAACATCGGGACAATGATGCCAGTAGAAGATCAATGTTCTATAGACAATATGAGAGGAAGTTTGAAATGATATGGCCAATAAGGAAGAACCGACGGATGAGTCTTTAGCCATACACAGGTTGAGAAACATCCAAGAATAACCGTACCGAAATCACGTTGAACGAGCTCGACGAATCACTGAATGGTCCCTGACGATTGGCAGGAGATGACTTCTCGATACCCGAGAAAAGAAGAAGGAAATTATATGGAACATTTTAAAAATGAACATTGAAGATGAAATTTGATGAATTCTTCATGTTTCCTTCGAACAAAAGATAAAAAAAAAATCAACTATTTAGGTATCGATAGGCATGTAAAAATTAGATAATAAAAATAATTCAATATTCAATAAGTTTCTGTTTTGAATCATCAGTAAGTATGTCTTAAAATAAAATTTAAAATTTTACGTGGAAACGAGATTTAGTCGCTACAGAGCGCCTGAGAAATGCAATAGAGGGATACCGCAATATGAAGAATAACTCTATAAAAAATAAGAGACCCCATGCCCTCAGATTTTTTTTTTTTTTCATTTGTTCCATTTTTCATCCTTGTTAACCATTAAAACTTCATTTTTTAATTGCATATCTGAAATATTTTTGGGGTATTAATTTTGAAACTTGTTTACCAATGTCTGTTGGGTTAGTTATAAAGTTTAATAATATTGATCATCACAGAACAGCGAATTAAAAAAAAAATGTTAATTATGGTTCAAAGTATAGAAATAAAGTAAATCATGATAGATCCAAACATAAAATTTACTCTTCGAAGAAATTACTTTCGACAATGACTATAACATTCAATACTTCAAACAACCATATAATATTAAAATGAAACGGAAGATTCTTCTGAAGACTGAATCTGAGACAGAAACTGTACAGATATATGGGATCGCCAACATTATTATTATATTTTATTTATTGAGTATTACAACAATGTGTCTCTTGGACATTGGTTATAGTGAGGTAGGATGACATTCACATTAAAAATATGTAATTATCGACTTCTAATCCGATTTCGTTTTTGGTGACAGATCCAAATTCGAATCCAGTCTTCCAATCCGCTTTTGTAGCCCATGGAATAGATCCCTTTTTATCAAATTATTAATATCCGCATGAAACTCCGTATTTAGTACACAAAAGATTTGTAGGTTACAATGAGATGAAACTATATACGAAGTTTCAGGCGGATGTTAATAATTTGTGAAACTGCAAATATTCGTGTCTGACTATTGTTTAAACTTTATTGATAAAACCAATTCAACATTTTTATTATTCATTATATTAACAGTGAAAAATATTAAAATTTTGAATATTATAGGGTGTAAAAAAAAATGACCGTTTTATCTAATTCAAGATTTCAAAGGACTGTACTTTTTTTAATCCCATTTATACTTACGAATACTTAATAATCCCTTTAGAGCATTCTCTAAGCTTGTCTAATCCCATTCAACTTCTTCAAAAATAGCCTCAGTTATATTTGTTCCAAAGAAGAAACATGAATTTCTACGAAATACTCGTAATTTTAAGACATTACTGGAAAAAAAGTTTCATAGCCGCTGAAGCAACTCGTACAATTATTAAATATGAAAAAGAAGGTGTCCTTGAACAGCGCACTGCGCCTGTCCACGAGTACTCGCGAACTTGGCAGGGAGGGTGTTGTGTCGAAAGATTCTGTCAGTAGCCATCTACTCACCATGGCAAAAATAAAAAAGATCAGTAGAATGGTCCCTCATGAACTTACTCCTCAGCAATCAGCTAAGAGGTTAGAAATTTGTGAATTGAATTTATAAATTGAAAAAATATTTCTGATATGAGACTCCTGCTTCATCCATCATATAGTCCAGACCTCGAACCATCGGACTATAGCTTATTTAAATCCATAGCCAATTTTCTTGTCTAAAGAAAAAAAAAATAATTATTTTGCGGAAGTTGAAATAGCGGTCCAAGAGTTTTTTGACATCCATCCCAAAGAATGGTGCCAGCGTGGGATCGAGCAATTAGCAGATGGATAATGATGGTATATGACAATGGACTATATTTTGAGTATTAAATGTATTTTATATCAAAGAAATAATAATAGAAATATTTGGTTGAAAGACGGTCCTTTTTTTTTATACACCCTATTATTTCTAGCATGGATATAGATAGAAGCACAAAGAATCTTTAGTAAGGTTACCTTGAAAATGAACTGTCCCATGGGCGATATGTTGTTGGTGGCCCTCTTGAAGCAGTGGAGGTAATCCTTGGTGAGGATGAAGTACCTCTCCTTCCACCTGGAGAAGAGCCGTTCCCTCTGTTCCCAGAGCAGGCCTCTCTTGATAGCGTGGATCTCGCCTCGTCCCATCGAAGACACCGACTGCAACACACGGTCCATCTCAATCAGCTGCGTCTTATCAAAGCGATAATAACACAAGCCAGCTTATGAATCATTACCTTATCATGCATAATCTTTAGAGTGTTTGGAACCGATTCGTAGTTATTTAATTTACGAGAGTGTTAGTAAAGATAAGACATTTTATAAACAATTTCTCTGTTCTGCTATAAAATAAATAATTTTTAACAAAAAAAAAATTAATTTTTATCGCTTTATAATTAACCCTATTAAGACAACGAACAAAACAGCTGTTTTCACAGGTTCTTAATATAGTAGAGTACAGTAATGATTATTTATAAAAAAAATTTAACGATTCTGCCCGACCAAGCATAGGTCGGTCCCACAGGCGGATTTACAGGGGGCGGGAGGAAGTCTTTCAGGCTGAAGCCTCTCCCAAAACGGTAAAATATAACCATGTTTTATAGAAAAAAATATTAAAAACTATCTCTTAAAGTATTATTGTTCGTGTAATTACATTTAATAGCACTTCAAGAATCACTTAAACACCATTTCATATAGGTAGTTCATTTCTTTCTTCTTTTTTAAAAAAAATAATTATCGTTATATATATGAAAAAAAATCTTTCGGGCTCAAGCCCCCTCCAAAATTAAATCCTGAATCCGCTTATAGAATAAACATTAAACATTACTAAAATTATTTTTTATATAAATGATTAAAACCTAGAAAAAAGAAGAGACAGAGCTACAAATGGTTTCTCCAAGGATATATATATATATATATATGTAAGCCCTTATAGTTTAAGCATTTATTTAATTTTTAAGGACAGTTTGATCCTTTTCGAACCATCTACAAATACTCACAAAAAACATTAGTTAAGTAATGACAATTAAATGTATGATGCCGATACTACTGTGAGAGCTTACCAAAACTCAATAATTTCAAAATCTTTCTATTATATTATTCTGTTACATCTTATTTCTGGCCTACAACAATATAAATTACCACGTTCTATTCTATTCACATATTGTATAATGCTTGTCAATTCTAAAAAAATAAAAAAGATTCAAACGTGCGATTATTTCAAAGTTAAAATCTTTACAATTCTGGATTTTTATGTTTATTTTATTTAATAAGTATACTCACACCAAACCCGGCACTAGCTTCTCTAACTATTGTTTAATATGGACTGCAACAGACAGACAAATAATATCAGAATAAAATTGAAAGATTCAAAAAACAAATCCTCCAGTCTCTAAAATATCGCTAATTCGTTGATGAATATTGCTGACTAATAAGAACAGTATTTAATTTTTTTTCCTCTTACCTTAGAAAAATGTAAAAACCAATAAAATGATTTTTTTTTCCTATTACATATAGTCCGTCATCCTCTTCATCTCCCAGGACATTTATAAAGTTTTCATGTACTGCCTAAGTTTCAATGGACGACGCACACTGTTTCCTTTCTGCCATACACGAAGGTTTCATAGTACGGCCAGTACATTGACGAAAAGAGGGAAATAATCTTTATCAAGGCCCTAGAGGCCAGTACTCCTTTTTGATTTACATTGGTCACACTTCTTCAAAGAAAACGCCTTGATCATCCTTTCTATGTCTGTGTAACATGGCTCAAAATCCATTATACCGCTGAGGAATTTAGATACTCCGACAGACTGTTAGGACATACAAACAGACAACTAGTCGAGACTAGACAGTGGAGTAATACTTACTTATAGTAGTATCTCAGGAGTTAGAGACTCATAGCCTCTTCCATTCCTGAATCTGGGTGTCCCACAATGTCACATTTCCTGTGAACTTTCCTGATCACAGCGTCTTGTAAGATGAGACTTTTGTCGAGGAGAAATCATATTATCAAAATAGTGGTGAAAATTACTGACCGCGTCTTTTCGTCATAGCTCAACAACGTTTGTAAAAACTAATACGCCTTGGTACAGACTCCTTTCTATCAAATTATTAACTTCCGACTGAAACTTTGTAAATGTCTTCATCTCACCGTAACCTACAAATATTTTATTTACGGAAATTCCCGGAATTGGGGCGTTTACAATCTGGAAGTCGGCAAACTTTGTCTATTTAATTAGGTACTAAAAACTCGTAAATAATCATTTGCTTTCCATTTCAATCGTAAGATAACTTGAGCACAAAGTCGAGAGAAAAAGTGGCCTTCAAACATATTGAGCCGTTTGGTAAGACCAAGCCCCCAAACTGGCAAAATAACAATATATAATTATATATAAGCCTATAGGTCAAACAGCCTAATATTTCTGTAGGCCACTTTGTTTTATCGATTTTGTGATCAAATTATCTTACTATCCAAGTGGAAAGCAAATGGGTATTTACAAGTTTTTGGTATCTAATTAAATAGACAAAGTTTGTCGACCTCCAGATTGAAAACTCTCCAATTCCGAGAATTTTCGTAAATAAAATATGTGTAGCTTACGATGAGATGGAGATATTTATGAAGTTTAAGCCGGATGTTAATAATTTGATAAAAAGAAGTCTGTACCATCAACTATAAATTACTATAGCATCTCTTCTTAGTAAATGAAACCGACACACCCTCATCGATAGTTTTTTTTTCACCTATAGACAAACTCAAGAATAGAAGGTTTTAATTTTTCTGACGCCATGATAGACTTAAGCAAATAATGATAACGATGACTTTTTTTTGTTTAATAATCATGATTTTTTTTGTAATTAAATTAATTACTTGCTGAAAAAAAAGTTTTAAAAACTAGATGCTGAATCTCTGAAGGAAAGACCGTTGGATTCGTTGGACTATGTTTTAGTCTAAAAGCCTACAATGGTATCACTTGCTAAGAAAGCCATAAATTTCTGGTCTGTGAATGGTTTTTTTGCAAATGAAAAATGCGCATATACTTGTCTTGTTTTGAATAATAAAATGTTGTTTATTTAAATAAAAATAGTGACAGATAATAGAAATATCAAAGTCAGAAACAAATACTACGTTTTCGTTCCGTAGTTATACATACATACATCTGATTGTGAGCGATAAAGAAGCTCTCAAAACTGAAGCACCTCAAGGTTGCGAACTGGCACGTACTGAGAATTATAAAAGAATCAGTAAATATGTACATATATACTTTTCAGATCACTTGAAGGTACCCTAACAAGCCACTGTGGATTCTAGCAGATTCACAAGTTCTGAAATCGACTTAAAATATGACTACATGTACATCCGGATGATTCATTAGCTGGGAGAAGGGGATACGGAATAAATTTTCTGAAGAGGCTATTAGCAACGGTTACACAAGAATATGATTCACATTTTCACACGTTTTTATTTAAATATTCCTTAAAAAACAATGACATTCTCAATATTAAAATACGTTTATGTCCGGACAGAAGGGCTAACGGGTATTATTCCAGAAAGTTAAGAAATAACAAGGTATTAGAAATAATCACAGGCTTACAAAATAACACAGACAGATTTTTAAATGGATCATCATATTAATATTGTAATTTATGCGTCTAGAATTTTCATAAGATAATAATTTTGAATAATCAAACTATGAGCAGAGCATGAGATAGGTCAACTATAGCAGCCGCCAAGAATTAGAAATTCAATGAACTTTACTTTGACTTCCCAAATCCTTTATTGACATCCCTTACAATCTAGGTGAACGTTCTTGCTGTGTAGTCTGAATCCTGGCGTCTCTACTGTAATTTATTTATTTCAGAAATTCCTACTCGATCTCACTCTTTATTTCGTTCGGACATTATTTTTTTTTAAATTTCTTTATTGAGTATTATGACAATCTGGCTCTTGGACATTGGTAATAGTGAGGTAGAATGACATTCACACTATATGTACACAAAAATAAAATAAATAGAAACAAAATAATAATCAAAAGTATATACAATAGATAATAAAATAAAATAACCTAAAAAATAAGAAAATTAAAATTAAGCAAAAAAAAACAAAAAAAAAACACATGCATACCTATACACAATCAGGGGAGGGAACTCCAGGAGAACCCTGCGCTACTCTCCCAACCGCGTCACTGGTACTAAAGCCAGCGGAGATTGATCGAGAGCACTTTAGCCACATACACTCATGTCTTGAGTGAAGAATCTGGCCATTGCCAGAACTCCAATTTATACAATCTACAAAAGGTCGCGAGGCCACTGCCGTTTCAACCTTCTTGGAGGATTATAGGGATGGGAGGTGCTTGATAGGGATTGTGCAAGAGGATTTGGTTGGTACGTAAGGTTCTGATGAAATTTGGAGAATTTTTCTGGGATAAGGTCTAGGACAAATGGGATGTTGAGGTCATGATGAAGGGTTTTGTTGGTTACGTAGAAAGGAGCATCGACTATTGTTCGAAGGACTTTTGACTGGAAGGATTGGATGCGCTTGAAGTTAGAAAATTTTGCTGATTCCCACAGTTCGTTCGGACATTAAACACCTCATTTCGAAATTATTACAATAAACTCAATAAATATTGATTTTCTTTTTTTTTTTTTTTTTTTTTGTGCATATACATTTAGACAAATAATAACGAGGATAGTAGTGATGGAATCTGAAGTATGAGTACAGGCGGTCCAAAGAAAAATAGATTTTTTTATGAAGATTCAAGATACAAACTATTTTTTTAAAAATAACATAACAAAACAACCAGATGAATCTGATTAATACGATTATCTATTTCCCGCAAGGGGGACATTTTTAAGTAATAAAAAAATAATAATAAGCGTAAATAGCCTTAATAAAAAATAAATCTTAATATTACTTCTTGTAAATATTCAATAATTAATGCATTATAAAATGGGTTGATTCTGAAGTATGGTAAAAATACGAAATATATCATTGCTGTTCGCTGGTGGACCCACAGGGAGGATTTCAGACCCAAGCCTGAAGTTATTTAATTCGGACTGAGGTTATTTCATTGGTCCATGTTTGTTTATGTGAGTGATCTGAGAAAAATAAACAATCATCATATGTACTCTTTTAAAATTAAAATTTAACGCATGAGTTTCAG